GCTGATTGGCAGGCTCACCTCCTGTGCCGCCACACCCCACCCGCTGATTGGCAGGCTCACCTCCTGTGCCGACACAGCCCACCCGCTGACTGGCAGGCTCACCTGTGCCGACACAGCCCACCCGCTGACTGGCAGGCTCACCTCCTGTGCCGACACAGCCCACCCGCTGACTGGCAGGCTCACCTTGCTTGCAGTCCTTAGGCACTGCCACTCTCCCGGATCCTTCCCTAGCTTTGTCCTTTGCCTGCGCTTTCCTCTGAGATGTACTGTCATTTCATTCAAGAGCCAGCTCAGAGTCGTGGTCTTTTGGATCGTTTTCCTCGTTGCCCTACTTTGTCCATGGGTTTTCTGTGACTGTGTTCCTGCTTCCTTTATATCAGTTCCTACTGATACTGTAGTCATCTGTTTAAATACCCCAGGGCCACCACCCACTATACTGTGAGTTCCTTGGGGTTGGGGTTTGGAACTTTAATCCTCTTTGCATCTTCTGCGCGGTGTCTGACACGTGTGTCCGGAGATGTTGAAGGGATGGATGCAGTCTTTTCAACACGAGCGGGAATGACTCCGATAGTCGCTTTACTGGATGCTGTCACAGTCAGAGGCAGAGGTCCCAGCTCTCAAGAAGGCTACCATAGAAGAAAGTCTTTTTATCTTCTGATCCAAAATTAATCTTACTCCAGAGTCTCCTGGTCTGGGAAGATCTGTAAAATCTTGATTGTACCCTGTCTTTTTATTTTCTAGGCTGCGTGGATGCCTGGGAGCCCAAAGTGCTCCGGGCGGGTATGAGCGCACATTTCCAGGTGCCCATCATCAACAACCTGGAATGGGAAACTGTGCCCAATTACCTGCCCCCTGACACCCGCGTCTACGTGGCTGACAACTGTGGCCGTTACGCCCAGGCTCAGGTGTCTAATAAAGCCAGTGACCACGGCTGGGTGTGTGACCGGCGAGCCTTCAAGTCTCACAGGTATGAGGAGGAGGAAGATGTAGAAACTGGGACCAGTCAGGATTGGCTGCCCGAGGTTGAGGTTCAGAGTTACGACTTGGACTGGACTGAGGCACCGGCGGCCGTGGTGGTGGGTGGGGAGACCCACGGCGTGAGCTTGGAGTCACTACAGTTGGCCGAGAGCACTGGTGGCAAGCGGCTGCTGATCCCCGTCGTTCCCGGCGTGGACAGCCTCAACTCGGCCATGGCGGCGAGCATCCTGCTTTTCGAAGGGAGGAGACAGCTGCGGGTGAGGGCGGAGCACCTGCACAGGAGTTCCCACTGAGAAGGACGCAGAAGTGAGTTCTGCTTGAGGACACCTCCAGCTCCCCCTGCACCTGCACACCATGAGTGAGGAGGCCGGCAGTTGGTGACTGTGGCCCATGTCCGGGGAAGGTGTGATGCCATCATACGGTTACAGGAAAAATAAGAACTTCCTCGGATGGAACAGGTCAGAGTTCTTCCCGAGGCCTCCCGTCACGTCACTGATCTCGAGGTTGTATCTTTTTTCCTTGGTGACAACACAAATAGGTGACCCACGTGGCTCTGTGTTTTTAAACATTGTCCACCAAGAACCATTTCGTGGCGGGAAAGTTCCTGAGGCATCTTCCTGGGCAGGGAGGAGTCCCCTTCACCAGCTGGTGGGTGTTTCCTGGGCAGGGAGGAGTCCCCCCCACCAGCTGGTGGGTGTTTGTGATCGTCAAGCACGAGTTGTAGGTCTCGGCCACGCCACTCACAGCTCATCACTGGTTGATGGAAAGTGAACAATAAACAGCAGACATTAAAAGTTGCCTTTGTGAGGTTGGTGTGTCTCAGTGCCTGTGCCATGCTTGGCCTGTGAGGAGGCTGTGTCTAAGGGATACCAGGGTGCTGGGGACTGGGGACTCGGCATCCAGTAGCTCTTCTCTGGGCTCAGATTGTCAGTTTGAGATTGTTCAGGTCTTCACTCAGCCACTATTTATATAGCTGTAGAAACAGCTTAGTTCAACGGGCCGTGTCAGATCGCCTTGGCACCTCTGCAGATACCTTTTTGAGAACTTTGCAGAATTTCAAAGTCTGCAGCCTGACCCAGCATTTGTCCAGGAAGTGTCACTGTTTCCTGGCTCCCTGTTAGTCCTTCCCGTGGTGAACTGCGATGCTCACCTACGCCTCATCCCTGATGCTTAGAGACCATGATACAACATGGCAGGAGGCCCCTGCTGTTCTCTCAGCCCCTCCGGGGGACCAGGGCAAGCTGGATCTTTACCTACCAGGGGCTAAGCCAGGATGTAGTCAGGCTGTCGGGGCAAGAGCTGATGGCAATCGCTGTATTTATAAGGGACTGTGGGAACGGGGTGGGTGGAGGATGAAACGGACTTTAAGCACCACTTTGCGCCCACACAGAACATGGTTGCAGCTGGAGGCGGCACCGGAGTGTCCTTTCCCCATGGCCTCCTGCCCAGCGGCTCCTGTGATGCTGTGGACTCTGGGAGCCCCTCGGCTGCTCACTTAGGGAGGGCAAGTGTGTTGCTGCTGTGCCCAGGAGAATCCTTGCCCCCACCCCTTCTGCTCTCCCCACTTCCTAGTAAAACTTCCTCTCGGGGAAGCAAATGACCAAGCATGATGCACGTGCCGAGGGGCAGGCTGGGCTCGATTTGGGATGTCTTGGGGGAAGGGTGTGTGCAGGGATCCTCCCTGGCTGGGCAGCCTGAACATCTGCTCCGGAGCCCTGCTGGGGTCTGGGCCTCCCTAGAGCTGCACACACACCACAGCCTACCACACACCACCGCACCACTGCTCACAAAGGCCAGGCAGAGCCCGCGGCTTCACTGCAGAGTTGATGCGGACAGGCTGAAAGGCAGCGGAGAACACAAATTCATCTGCTCTAGTCTCCCTAGACACCTCAGGCAGGAGTCACAGGAAGGAAGCTCACACCTTTCCAGCCTGAAACCAGTCTCCTGTGATTGGTTCCCTGGCTGTACTCCCACTGATTTTTGTTACAAAATAACAAAGAATAAACCATATATTATCCTTGTTTAGAAAAACCATGTAAAACACTGGCAATCATTCTAGGCCCCTTTTATCCTCCTGGGTATGAGGGAAAATAAAGTCACACCCCATTGCTTTAGAGTCCATGGCTTAGGTGCAGTGCCTTGAATTCACTTTATGTATTCATGGGTATAATTTAGTAGGAGGTGAGGGAGGGTGCAGGCGGGAGGCGATGTCCTTTCTTTAGTGAATACAGGGGAGCAGATGGTTGTTACTTGCTGAGTGATACTGGAAAACACTACCTTGAATCCTCAGTTTTGAGGCCATTTGTTCTGTGACCATTTCCCCCATAAACAGGAATAAAAACGAGTAACATTTGGCAGGGAAAACATTGCTTGGCCAAGAGAGAGAGGCCCTGTCGGCACTGGCCAGGCTCCTGCGCCTTTGTGTGGCAGCGTCGCTGTCAACAGTGGCGTCTGCCAGGAGGGGGCAGGCTACGCCTCCAAAACCACACAGTGCTGAAGGGCAGGGCTTCCAGTTTTCCTAGATTTAAATCCTTGAAAAGGGAGGAAATGAGGATGGAGTCACCCCCACCAGAGAGTTTTCCAAGCCGTCTGTGCTCCAGGGTGCAAAGGCTGAAGACCCATCCAGACTGCCCCACACGATCTCAGCAGCAGAAAGAACCTGGAGCATGGGAGGGCATGGGAACGAGAGAGGACAGAAACGGGAAGGGGCAGGAAAACCCAGCACAACTTTTCTCCATGCCTGGAGCCTCTGAAAAAGTAATGCTGGGCAAAGCACGGACATCCAGATGTGCCTGGAGCTGACAATGGACGCCCACCTGCCGGCCCTTCAGTTCCTGCTCCAGGACAGTGGGTGCTGAAATCACTCTCCCTTGCCCCCACCCAGGCTCCTGGCTGGGACCCTGGTCAGTAAGGTCCAGAGGAGACACAGCTCTCTGGGGACCCGCAGTTTACCTGGGACCTTCCACCGCTGGTCCCGGGGCTGAGTAACTCCAGATGTCCACACCAGCCACACGAGGCCACACTTAGCCCCACTGTCACCGTTCTACCACACACAGCCCCTAGACGCACATCCCATCCAAGGTTCCAGGGCTTGCACTGAAAATCACCAGCTGCACTGCAGGGCCCAGGGCTCCCTTGACGAAGCCACCTCTCCCTCAGGAGCAGGCCTGACAGACCCACCTGTTTTTGTTTTTTAGGGAAACATGTTGCCACCTTAAAAATTCCACGATTGTATTTCCTCTATTTTCTTTTCTTTTTTTTTTTTTTTTTAGATGGGAGTCTTGCCATGTTGTCTGGTCTTGAACCCCTGGCCTCAAGCTATCCTCCTGCTTGGGCCTCCCACTGCACCCGCCGTGTTTCCCGTTTTCATCAGTGCCGTGAGTGCACACCTGTAATAAGCTGGAAGCCAAGTTAAGGGGTGAGTTGGTTTACCGCTTAGGATGATTGATGTCTTTGAACTAAGGAGCCATGCTACACTCTAGCAGCTGAGACAGCAGGTGAAGCCAAGTCCTCCCGAAAGCCTCAGGAAGTCTGGGTGACACTCGGCAGCCAAGCGTGAAGGAGAATCCCCACTACCTTATGGACGGGGTCAGGCCTGTTCTTACCACACTCAAAATCTGGCTTCCTGGATTGTCTTGTAGGGAAGAGCCACTTTTTTCAGTTGCAGCCTGACCTGGTATGGGCCACAGCCAAGGCTCCTGCTTCCTCAGGATGCAGAAAGGGGGCCGGCTGTGGTGGCTTCACGCCAGTAAATCCCAGCACTTTGGGAGGCCGAAGCAGGTGGATCACGTAAGGTCAGGAGTTTGAGACCAGCCTGGTCAATATAGTGAAACTCCGTCTATTAAAAATACAAAAATTAGGCCGGGCGCGGTGGCTCAAGCCTGTAATCCCAGCACTTTGGGAGGCCGAGGCGGGTGGATCACGAGGTCAAGAGATCGAGACCATCCTGGTCAACATGATGAAAACCCGTCTCTACTAAAACTACAAAAATTAGCTGGGCATGGTGGTGCGTGCCTGTAATCCCAGCTACTCAGGAGGCTGAGGCAGGAGAATTGCCTGAACCCAGGAGGCGGAGGTTGCGGTGAGCTGAGATCGCGCCATTGCATTCCAGCCTGGGTAACAAGAGGGAAACTCCGTCTCAAAAAAAAAAAAAAAAAAAAAAAATTAGCCAAGCGTGGTAGTAAGCACCTGTAGTCCAGCTACTCGGGAGGCTGAGACAGGACAACTGCTTGAATCCAGGAGGTGGAGGCTGCAATGAGTGGAGACTCCAGTAGTGCAATGCGCTACTGCACTCCAGCCTGGGTGACGAGTGAAACTCTTCTCAAAACAAAAAAAACAACGCAGGAAGGGAACAAGGTCGGGGAGGGAGGAGCTGATGGCTGCAGCAAGGTCTGGGCTCAGCCTCCCTGCCTGCTCCTCTGAGAGGCCAAGGGCGGGACCCGCCAACTGACCGCCAGCCTGCTGAGTGGCTCTTCTCTGGCTGGGGACGGATTTCCATGTCCTCTGACGGTCAAGAGATTTGATTTTTTGGCCTTGGTCCCTAGGGTCTTGTCTCCTGCTGTGTCCTGGTTCTAGCACATGTGGGTGACTTACTTGTGTGAGTTGTGAGCACCCAGGAATCCGGACCGGAAGCTGTCTCTGCCTCTGGGTTGCACACTGGCCTACAGACCTGGGAACAGAGGCTTTCATGCATTAACAGAAACCCAACAGTTCCACGCAAACCTCCCAGCACATTCTCTGGCTTGGGAAGTATTCCAAAGCATGAAGGGTTGAGACACACTTACACCTTGAGAGATGACAGTCGGCCTACTCACCTGTCTTCATGCCCTCGTAGATGTACCTGCAACACCCTGATGTTATATTCCCAGCACTAAGTGTGAAGCTGTCAACAGCTATTTCTTCCCAAATTATTTTCCCTTGAGCAGCCTGGAGGAAGCAAGGCAGGTGCTCCCATCTTGGTAGCAGCCGTGAGGGGTGTAGGCAGGCGCCCGCCTCTTTCATTCAGCTGCTTCGGGGCAAACTAGAAAGATCCTTCTGAGCTCACGGCCCCCTGCTCAGTCCTTGGCTCCCAAAGCAGCCCCCAGAGAGAAGCTGCAGGAGGCAGTCAGGAACTCCGGAACCTCTGGGCATACGGGCACGGCCACCCGCCGCGTGTGTGACAGTGGCGCCCCAGCCCTAGCGGGTGTGTATGGCCTGGCTCGGCAAGGGCGCCCTCCCAGCCCTACGGTTCCCAGTGTGCAGGGTTTCTACGCATGCGTCCTCCCACGCATCGCGGTTCTCGCCCTGAGCCCGCTGGCGCCACCGCATCTTAGGTCCCACGGATCAGCTCCTGGGCCCATCCTGCTACGGCTGCACTGCTGCTGCATTCAGTGTGCTGTCCTGGAGCAAGGCAGCAGGAGGGAGAACAGCTTTCCAGTGTCTTTAATTAGGCAACAGGGAAAAACAGTCTGGCTGAAAGTGACTGTCTGAAGCGTGGCCGGCGCCAGCACAGAATTGGCTCCCTGCGCTCTGATCAGTGACTTCAAGGACATGCCAAGGGGCGAAAGGGACAGCAGGAAGTCACTCGCTCGGGATAAGCAGCTGGTTTTCATCGCTGGACGTGCCAGTCCCAAACATACGCTTTTCCCTTTTCTTTTTTTTTTTTTCTTTTTTTTTTGATGATCATTATGTAAAGCAATGCTTTTCCTTTTTAAATTATTATTTTTTCCCCAAATAGGAATTCAATGTGGAAAACACACCCTTTTTCTTAAACAGACTTTTAACGCTGGGAGACAGGTTAAAAAGCAACAACAGGCCGGGAGCAGTGCTCACGCCTGTAATCCCAACACTTGGGGAGGCCGAGGTGGGTGGATGACCTGAGGTCAGGCGTTCAAGACCAGCCTGGCCAACATGGCGAAACCCCGACTCTACTAAAAATATGAAAATTATCTGGGCGTGGTGGTACGTGCCTGTAGTCCCAGCTCCGGCCTGGGCAACAGAGTGAGGCTCCGTCTTAAAAAAAAAAAAAAAAGGAAAATAACCCTCATCTCTGCTGTGAGAATGGGCAGATGGGATCTGGAAGTCACTGTGGACCGCGGGTGGATTTTGACAGCCGCCCTGGCCTCCACCTGCAGGGCATGGGTTCCCTGTCGGCTGGAGGAGCCCCTGAATCCATCACAGCTGGTGTTTAACCTGCTTCCAATTAGCAACAAGAATCTCGAGGTACTCTGGAGCTGCTCGGTGGGAATTATCACGCCACACACTCTGCCTGCATCGGTGACCTTTACATCTCCCTCACCATCGATCCCCAACATTCAGAAGTGATTCTTCCCTAATGATTTCCCACAAAGTAGCCACCGTATAACCCTGAACCTTTGGAGTACACCTCCCCCACGGATCTTAAGGAACCTACAAATCCACTCTGTAAGGGGAATTCTGGTGTCGAGACCAGCTGCAATGACTTACAGCAACGCCTTGCTGGACTCTGTTCCTTCTGCCCCAAAGGTAAGCAGCTGCTAAGAGAACCCACCTTTCTTCCAAGGCCATCATGATACAGGGCGTGGACAGAAATCTGCCATCGCCCACATTCAGGCCAGCCACATTCATCTTGGACTCCCATCCACCTCGACCCCTAAGGGAGATGCTGGAAGAGCCCCAGAGAAGTCCCGAGCCCTGTGACGACCTGGGTTTCGGGGTCTCTCACTCTTGCCCCATTCTCCACAAGGAGACCCGTGTGTGATTCCTCGTTTCCCCAGCCAGCTTTCTCAGGGTTCAGAGCACTTTGGCCTCTGTAGGGAGGAAATGGGTAAGAATGTCCACAATGAGGTATGTAACCTAAGGATTCACCCTTTGTCCAGGGCCAAGTCCAACCTGCAAAGATGGTGGCCAGAGCTCCAGGAGGGATCTGTGGCTGGCACTGTGATCCAAGTGAGCTTCATGCTGCTGGACACCAAGAAACTTCGACGGACGACCAGCTATGTCATGTGGGTCTCAGAACTTCCCATACACAGTCCTCAGGTATCTGACGGGAGGCTCTCTACGCCCTGCCCTCCACCACCCACCTGACAGAGCACAGCACAAGTGAAAAAGCCTTTTGCTACCAAGGACAGGAGAGACCCCGTGGTGGAAAAGGCCCAGAGATGCCTGCTTTATTTCCTACTGAGCGATCGCATTTCAGGCCAGCAACATCACATCACAAGTCTAACTGCCAACTAACTTTATACCTCTCAACTACAAATCAACAATCCAATTCAGCAAGGAACAAGTGTCAACAGCTCATTCAGGGGTGGGGGCTGAATTTTCCAAATAAACAGTCTTGGTTGGCAGTCCTGAGTGGAGCCGAGGGGAACACCCACAGTTGTTTCGAGTCCCCGACACCTGACTGAGGCCAAAGCCGTCCATCCCCAGTCCTGAGAACAGAGTTGCTGTTTCTCTCTGTGTCAGGTCAGCCCCCGTAAGAGGCCCGCAAGCTACCTGGGCCTCGAGGTCCACTGGCGGCTGCCACGCCCTCCACCCTCGCTCCACCCTAGGGCACAGCTCCTGCTGGTGCTCAGGAAAATTCGAGGCTTCTGGTAATTTCTCAAATTTGTAGTTCTGCTTAGAAAAGAAAAGGGGGCCAAGCATGGTGGCTCACACCTATAATCCCAGCACTTTGGGAGGCCCAGATGAGTAGATGACTTGAGGTCAGGAGTTCCAGACCAGCCTAACAGGGTGAAACCCCGTCTCTACTAAAAATGCAAAAATTAGCCGGGCATGGTGGTACATGCCTGTAATCCCAGCTATGAGTGAGGATGAGGCAGGATAATTGCTTGAACCTTGGGGGCGGAGGTTACAGTGAGCCGAGACTGCATCATTGCACTCCAGCTTGGGCAAGAGAGCAAGACTCTGTCAAAAAAAAAAAAAAGGGAATGACGGGGTAATGGAACGCGGGCATGGGTACCTTAGCAGAGATCAGTGGCCTCAGGCACAGAGCTGGGTGGAGTCAGAGACCTGTGCTTGCTCCGAGGTGCTCCTCTAAGAACTCTGGGCTAAGTTTCCTGGGAAGATGTCCAAGGAGAGGGATTTGTCAACAAAATTTCAAGATGGTAGGAGCTGTTTGTATGAGCAGGTGGAGACTTGGGAAAGGTCAAGGTCAAGGAAGAAAGATAAGGAGTAAGAAGCTCTCATCAGGAGGTGGGAGCTCCATAAAAAAAAGCCATTACTATATGAACCATTACCTTAGCTACACTTCTTTCTCACTCAAAAAAACTCCACAAGCTTCTTTCCGCATTTGGAGATGCCCTGCCCAGGAACACGTGGATGGGCTGCTGCTTTCCCACAGACCTGGAAAGACTGTGTCACTCAGAAAAGGATGTTCTCACCTGAGCTCTAAGCTGAGGCCACCAAGACCCAGGCCCTTTCTTGGCTCCCCTCACACAGGTGTCACCTGGCGGTTCCCCTCTGGCTGTCCGGGGCTGCGTGTGCGTGCCGGTGCCACAGTCAGCTCCCGAGCCCCGGGCCACTGGCCCTCCATGCTCACTCTGCTCCAGAAGACCCCGGCAGAGCCTTCACCAAACACTAGTGACTTTGCGAGAGTGATGCCATCCCTGCTCTGGTCGGGCTGGGCCATCCCATGCTCCCAAACACGGAAGCCTCCTAACATGGCAGATTCTGCTGCTGCTGGATTCTGCACCCCAGGGTGCTACTGAGGAGTTTAACGCAGAGACAAGGCACCACAGAGAGGTTGGACACTTGGGTTGTGTGATTTGGGACACGCTGGGTAGGTCCAAGGGCGGAGGGAAGGAGGGGAGGAGGAGGAGAAGGCGGAGTTTTAAATAATGTCTCGGGAGGCCGCAGCCACACTAGATGGGCTCAGGCTTGAGCTTCTCTGCTAGGAAGTCATTCACAAAGGCCTCCACGATGGCGGGGGTGATCTCCTCCACATCCATCACGTACTTGGCCCGGGCCGACATGTCCAGGATGGTGAGCAAAGGGGCAGCCTCGGGCAGGTTAGTGTAGTCTCGCAGGGAGTCAGTCATGTCGTCCTGAGGTCGGCGGGAGGAAGAGAAAACCAAGAAGCTTTAAAGAAAGGAGGTGGAGAGGCCCCTGGCCCGACTCCCCAGGCGTGGCAGCTCCCTCACCCTGAAGCACAGGCTTTCCCGAGGAAAGGGGAGCCCAGCATGGGAACTGGAGACCTGCCCTGCCTCTGGGAGGAAGGGGCTGTTTTGTAAAATTCCCTCTTTGCATCTGCCCTCCCCCAGACCGCTAGGTAAGTCATCTGCATTTAGTTATTTACATATTTATTAGCATCAATGCCATTTTTACACATCCTCAGCATTTTGGAAATGTCACATCCTTTTTTTTTTTTTTTTTGAGATGGAGTCTCGCTCTGTCGCCCAGGCTGGAGTAGAGTGGTGCGATCTCAGGTCACTGAAACCTCTGCTTTCCAAGTTCAAGCAGTTCTACTGCCTCAGCCTCCCAAGTAGCTGGAATTACAGGCGCCCATCACCATGCCCAGCTAATTTCTGTATTTTTTTTTTTTTCGAGACGGAGTTTCGCTCTTGTTACCCAGACTGGAGTGCAATGGCGCGATCTCGGCTCACCGCAACCTCCGCCTCCCGGGTTCAGGCAATTCTCCTGCCTCAGCCTCCTGAGTAGCTGGGATTACAGGCACACGCCACCATGCCCAGCTAATTTTTTGTAGTTTTAGTAGAGACGGGGTTTCACCATGTTGACCAGGATGGTCTCGATCTCTTGACCTCGTGATCCACCCGCCTCGGCCTCCCAAAGTGCTGGGATTACAGGCGTGAGCCACTGTGCCTGGCCCTAATTTCTGTATTTTTAGTAGAGACGGGATTTTGGCATGTTGGCCAGGCTGGTCTCGAACTCCTGACCTCAGGTGATCCACCTCCCAAAGTGCTGGGATTACAGGCGCCTGCTGCCACGCCCAGCCATTTTTTTTTACATTTTTAGTGGGTGCATGGTTTCACCATGTTGGCCACGCTGGTCTCGAACTCCTGACCTCAGGTGATCCCCCCACCTTGGCCTCCCAAAGTGCTGGGATGACAGACGTGAGCCACCGCGCCCAGCCTAGAAATGTCATAGCTTCTGATGGTTTATTTTTGTAACCAACTGTCAATGATTTGCAGCCCCACTGTGGGTTATCTGAGGCCAATCTGGACTTCAGCTCTGGAATGTTTTTAAACAGAAACAGCTCAGCGTCCTCCAACCTCCACCCCTGTGGTTTCAGGAGGGACCGGAGCCGCAGAGCCGGCCAGTTCAGAAGACAGGGCTGCTGAAGCCCATGCAGGCTTACACTGCCTCCCTGTACTTCTCCGAGAAGGAAGCTGGCACTGATCCTACATGCCCAGCAGCTGTCCAGGGCAATTTCCCTAACACCAGGTACAGCCTCATGCACTTACAAAGGCAAACACAGAAATCCAAGGAGAGAGGATTTGTAAGGGAGCTACTTTGTTTTCTTTTTTGGGGGGGAGACAGAGTTTCATTCTGTTGCCCAGGCTGGAGTGCAGCGGCGCGATCATAGCTCACTGCAGCCTCACCTCCTGGGCTCAAGCAGTCCTCCCAAGTAGCTGGGACTACAGGCATGCACCACCATGCCTGGCTAGTTTTTACACATTTTGGAGAGGGAGGTTTCGCCATGTTGCCCAGGCTGGTCTCAAACTCCTAGGCTCAAGTGATCTACCCACCTCAGCCTCTGAAAGTCCTGAGATTACAGGCGTGAGCCACTGCACCCAGCCAGAGCTGCCATCTGAGAGCACTCTTTGCACTGTGGACTTTCACTGGTGGGTAACAGAAAATGGAGTTGGAAACCCGCCCTGGGGTTGTTTCACCGCAAATATAAATACTCTCAAGGGAATGAAACACCTGAGCCCTCCTGTAGAGAAAGGACTTGGGGTATTCTTGACCTTCCATGGTGGGGAGCAGGAGGCATAAAATTCACCAGTTTCTGAGACAAGCACAATCCTTTCTCAAAGGCAAATCCTTAGGAAGGCTGTTAGCAAGGGTCTGCCCCTCACCCCACTCTGGAGGCAGCAAGCACTTCCCAGCCCTGCGGGGCCACTCAGCACCTCTTCACTCTTTACCCAGTTCAGGCCTCCATGTGGGCCAATAAAAGAGCATGGGCACCTGACAAACATGTCCATCTACGTCCCACTGGGAGGCCCAGACCAAGCCAAGAACTCTGCTACCTCCCTCTAGGCTCCCTGCAGCAAACCACAGGAAGGTGGAGTGCAGTGGCACAATCTCGGCTCACTGAATCTCCACCTCCCAGGTTCAAGCAATTCTGCCTCCGCCTCCCGAGTAGCTGAGATTACAGGCACCCGCCACCACGCCCAACTACTCCTTGTATTTTTAGTAGAGACGGTGTTTCTCCATGTTGGCCAGGCTGGTCTTGAACTCCTGACTTCAGGTGATCAGCCCGCCTCAGCCTCCCAAACTGCTGGGATGACAAGGTGAGCTGCTGTGCCCGGCCATGGAGGCGGATTTTAATGCTACGAAGATTTCGTAAGGGCTGACATCTGCCTGCCACCGGGATGGGATCGAGACGGGATCAATGGGTGCCCTTCACCCTGGTAGCCCAGGGCTGGAGTTCTGGGCTCAGCAGGGCTCTGTGGACGCCTGCCTGCTGGGCCTACCCCTCTTCCATGCTGTCTTGCTTCTCAACATGACAGAATGGGACTAGGAATGCCACCAAGGCCACAAGCCCAGGCGAAGCGCAGGAAGAACGGCAGCCACGCGGGGTCCTCGGGGTATAACAACCTAGCTTCTGCTAACCCGACTGACTCCATCTTAGCTTCTTCCTCCGTGCCTCGGCCCCTCAAGTGCATTACTGGGTCAGGCTGCACTTAAAACTCTGAATCGTGAAGAGTGATTCACACTGTTCACAGCTCCTGTAACCACTGCACTCACAGCTCTGAACCGTTGAAAGTGGCTCACACTGTCCACAGCTCCTGTAACCACTGCACTCACAGCTCTGAACCACTGAGAGTGGCTCAC